TAAAATGAAAAGTGAAAATGTTTAAAAGAAATAAATTGAAGTCCATTAATATTTATCAATTACACCTGGAACCGTTATGTGTATTGCTATTTGTACATCTACAGCAAAACCTGAATCATAAAGAGTCATCTATAGCCATTACCCGAGGGTCTCAATGGGGTGGTACGCATCACGACTCACGGCTAGAAATTTGGCGATTTCACGACTCACAACTATTTTTTTCGAATCACGGTTAACTAGATTACTTTTAGAAATTTTTGAATTACGTTTTTCATTGCTTTTTCTTTTTTCGTATGAATAGGCTGCGTGACTTATTCGATCGTACGGACATGGATTTTTCTATTTCAAATAAGCCGAAATGCGACTATTTCTACGAAAAAATCCAAAAAGTGTTAAACATAGCAGGTATTGAGAACATAGTAGTGACATTGCTGCAGTCCGTGTCTGACATCGGAGTTTACGAATTCATTAAGTGTCGCTTTTCGCGATGATGTATTCTATGCCGGGCTAAATGTGCATGGTAAAATCAGGAAGTTTGTAGCGTATTCATATTATTATTTGACCCTAAACAAAATTATAGTATTTCAAAATCGATATCTTATATAATTACTTTAAAATGTCAGATATATACCATGTCCGTACGAATAGCAAACATAACTCGGACACTCTGTTTAAAAATTGTTCTCGGTTGCGCAATCGCCGCGCTGTGAAAACTTATTATACGTTTAATGAAAACAAGCCAAATGAAAGCGTGCTTTAAAATATCACATTATAGAAAATATATAGAAGTAATTACTAAATGATTCTGCAGATTTTGTAATTAAACATTAATGCATAGGAAGCCAACAACAAAAAGCAAAAAAAAGAAATATGAAAAAAGAAAAAACTTGAGTATTGGGATTCGAACCCATGACCATAAAATCGAAAAAAGGTTGGGACGATTCCCCCGAGACATTCTGTGAAGCTGAGGCGGCGAATCGATTTACATTCCGGTTAGAGATTTCGGCTCTTCCATGCTATCCCGATAATTGGTCCTAACTTCGCGCTAACTAAAAAAGCCAGTGAGGGAGAAGCTATCCGGCCCCTAGACACTGATGGATAACCCCTTGCACTAACTAGGCAACTATCGAAAGTATAATGTCAAATTGGGGTAGTCTATTCGGTGAAAGTGTCAAGTGGTCTATTATTATGTAAATGAGAGTGATCCAGTGGCGCACCGCGTTAAGGCGCCGCTTGCAAATCCAATGTAGGTTTGACGGTAGCTGGATCGATTCCCTGGAGGAGATTTTGTTTTGTCCTTTTTATTTAATTTACTTGTTTATCTTTTTTTATTTATTTATTTTTGCATAATTATTGTCATCTCTTGTGTTTCACTTTCCCGAGAACCGTCTTTTTTTACGAAGTGGATATATGATCGGCTCCCGTTCAAAGTCTTCGATGTACTAACATACTAAATGAGTGCTAGTTTTGTTTTGGCAAAAAAATATTTTATATCTTTATTAGAAATCTTAAATAAAGATGTCGATTCATATTATAACGTTCTATTTCGAGCAGCTTTAGCTTCTTGTCGCACTTAGCGTGGCTCCCGCTCAATTAAGGTCTTCGATGCACTAAATGAGCGGGAGTTTTAAAATGTACAAAACAAATCCCAACAATACTATGTAAGAATTAAAAAATCTTTTATAACTTTATTAGCAATCTAAAAAAGATGTCGATTCAATATTGTAACGTTCTATTTTGCCGAGCAGCTTTAGTTTCTTGCCACACTTAGCGTGACGCAGGCTCCCGCTCAATTAAGGTCCTCGATGCACTAAATGAACTACTCTGCGAATAGAGCATTTACAAAAAAAAATTACAAAAAAAAATTACAAGCGCGCGCCTGCATCGGAGTTGACTGTCCTTCTGAGGGACAAAACTGAATCACGGCTCACGCTATAGAAAAATATTCACGCCTCATGGCTAATTTTTTCGCATTTTAACTACTAACGGCSAATTTTTCAGCCGTTTCACGGCTCACGGTTAACCCCATTGAGACCCTCTTACCCACTTCCAAGGACTAATCCKATCAWTGGTCCCATCCACGAATGACGTCACATTTGTTTCAGCGAAATGCATCATGGTGTAGCTTATGAAAAATTCCGTGGTATTCACTGCCGATCGATGATACTTTAGAAAACATTCATTGCGTGCTTACAAAATTAGCCAATGTCTGAGAAATGTGATTTGTTTGCTGTTAGTAAACCATACTAAAACAAACGACATTTTGAAGATCATGGCTTGAGTTCCTATTTTAGTCARTCTCAGAACATTTATCGACRCATTAGTGCAGAGGACCATTGAAATTCACCCTTACCCTAACTACTTGAAAACATCTAATAATGATAATAAAAATGATTAGAACAGTAATAATCATTWGAATATATTGAGCCAGCTTACACTTTTTGTCCTTTAATTTTTGCTCTTCCTTTTTCTTCCYGTCTGCTTCTTTGYGAGRTGGAGCACTTTTAGGTGCGTCGATACTCTCACCCGTAGCGTCTTTCTCAGTTTCAATATCTTTGACACCAGATGGAGAAGAAGAGCCGTCATCATTTTCCTTTTCGTCGTCATCTTTCTTTGGCTTTGCTCGAGCTATTGTGCTCTTTTTGTCTAAAAGATGGATTTCTTCGAGTGGTGATTCCGCCCGTTTGTTAATGGATACTGAAAAAAATAAGTAGAAATAATATTCAAACCACACTTCGTAATGGAAATAGTTGCTGTAATTTTATGTTAACGGTCGAGTCCATTTTGTGCCGGTTTCTGCTTCCGTCAATCAAAACTCAAAACTGCTTGCGATATCATTACAACCGAACGATCTCAGATTATTCAAAAGAAACCTGGCCATGGGTGCTGATCTTTGATTGGCAGGAGCAAATTAAAACCACCAATAGCAGTTAGCCGTGCAATCGTTCAAAATGGAGCATATAGCTAAGTTGCGCATTTCTTCCGAATGGTATAGTGAGCCACAAAAATTGAGCTGGAGGTCTGAGCACAAGTAAATATTAATCTATTATATCTATTTATCTCTTCGGATTTGTCAGTGAAAGATATAAGCAACAAAAATGAACCAATTTATTGGAATGTATGTAAAATGGCGTTTTTCCAATAAATGGGTAGAAAATACGCCTATACGTGGTGTCTACCATGTAATTTACCAGATCCAGTAGTGATCCATATTTTCTRTATTGTCATGTCTGGAAACAAATCCTAACTCTATGCTTACACGCTAGCCAGTGAGATGCAAAAAACTCTCTGAAATTGTCGATTTTATTTTTAAATTTTAGGTCTGTTTGAATTCAAATTCGTGTTATTGCTTATGGAGATACCTGCTTCGGTAGTATAAACAACACTTAGCTCTTGACCATATTGTTTATAGATAACCTTCACATTGAAACTCCTAATCGATCGCCCGATCAACTGGAAAAGTACACTTAGCTATTAATTAGAGTTTTTAAGGATCTCTTTTTAACTSAAWATASACAATGTCTTTTTAAAGTTTTTGGACGAAAAGAATTCTAGGCAGTGTTCCAATCTATTTTGGAATACATTTTTTTGAGTTTGTTAAGCACATCATCGCTGAAGAACGTATCACTTACCATAATCGTCGTCTAATTCACTTGAAAAAGTATACGCCACACAGACAACTAAGACCAACAATGTTACCCCAACTTTTGACATTTTCTGAGGTTTGAAGGCCTATGACATCTAAAATGATAGACAACGTGCATTGTCAACTTCGATGGCGATGTCAATGGCACAAGTGTAAGATAATTGTCAGCTTTTGACACCAATCATTTGTTGTCAATCATCGATCCACATCACTCAAAAAAAAAACAGAATTTTATGAACTAAAAAATCTTAAGAGTCTCACCTGTGAAGAAATCATATACCGTAGAGGTTCTGTGAATTCCCCGGATAAAATCSGTTCAAGGATGAATGCGGGTGTTCGGGTATGACGTCACCCTTGAMTTGTTCAAAGGTGCTTCAAGATCAATTCTGATTGGCCAATAACAAAGAAACAATCAAAGTGCTTGATTTGCCGGGGTGTAAACAGCAGGTTGGAACGGATTGTCTCACTTSATTTGTATCAAAGGGCATATCAATAGTAGCACTTTTAAGCTAAACWATTCAATGTAACACCGAASAATGACAGCCAGGGTGTCRCTTTTTGATTGTTTTAAGTGGTGCTAATCATTGATTGATAATACTTTTTGATATTGAAGTTTAGTGTTTACGTGACCAAAAGTAAACATCAATGAATATCGATTAAATTTGTTTATGTTACATAAAAATGTCTGGTTTCTTTAAACTGTTTTTGAAATAATCTATTTACACTAAATGTTGTCAATATTTTTGTTTACCTTGAAAATAAATGCTTTTTGTTGTCAAGGCTTTCAATTGATGTATATGTGGATTCTTTTTTAAGTATCTTACGCCGCTACCTATTCTCCTTTCTAGTACCATAAAATTGAAAAAGGTAGGTAAATATTATATATTGACACTTCTCAAAACAGGTCTCATATAACTACAGATGTTGTTAAGACGGCTTATAACATCGAAGATTGAAAAAGCGTGTTTAAGGCTGATTAATAAATGTGCTCACGTGACCGGATTAGTTCCATAAAGCACTGATCGAATAGAATAATGGCAGCAATTTCTAGTGACTATTTAGGCTCACGTTCATGTTTCATGAGCCACTAATACGAGATTTTGAGAAATGAGCGGCTATTCATTCTTTCTTATTGAAAAAAAATGTGTTACGCAATGCATTATGGTCATGTGAATGAAAATGGATGCTGATGTCACGTGACAAGGCATAACATGATGTGAGCACTCCGCGCGACTCACAGTTCGGTGAGTTCGGTCTGTTTTGAGAAAGTCTCAAAAGTCCCGAAGTGCGAGTATTGTTTAACGGCATCAAAACATCAACTGGCTGTTCACGTTTCGAGCATTAACGAGGATAATTGCAGTGAGGTGAAATGACAATCTAGGTACAAAATTGAGTAAGCTATTTTGGGCAAACCTGAACAAGACCCCAAAAGAGTTTTTTCTGAAGGCGGAAAACAATGTAAGTAAAGCTTAGCTCCATGAGACCCAATCTACTTCAAGGGTTCAGATCGTTTGAGATTCAAGAGATATAATGCCGGCGGCCATGCTGGAGCAATAAATAATAGCTAGATATTAAGCTTAATGTTAAAGTTCATCCAAAATAGTCGCTGTCAGTGACGTAACTTAAGTCATATAGTGAAAACGAAGTCATAGACATAGACAGCACAGATTGTTTTTTATACATAGTTTATTTCTTTTCTTTCATAGAAAGAGTAATTAACCATATTTGGAATTATCAGTCAAATTTCTACTAATGATGAATTAATCAGATAGAAGAATTACATGAATTGATACTCGCATATTAATTAGTTGTCCAAAAATTCCTTTAAAACAAGGTAATATTGAGGGGTAAATAAACTAACTGAACCAAAAAACTAACAAAAAGCCCCTTTCACCACTTTAAATAAATTGTTACCAAATAAAGACTGTATTGCACTTTGGATGTTTGCTGGTAAACAGTTAAGCAATCCACATTGCAGTAAGTCTCATTTTAATTGTAAGGATGCAAAAGTGCTATATGGCTGTACATGAGACGAATGTTGGTTTTGAACCACAAAGATGACAAAGCACTTACACAGTACATGTTTGTAAACAGATTGAATAGCTATAGTACTATAGTATCATCGTAGCACAATTAAGTGTTTACACTATTTAAAATATGGCCATGGTGCCTTTTAACAAATACTATCACACTCTTCTAACTAGTCCATTTAGAGGTATTTGCAATTCATTTTGTTTACCAACTTATTTCGATAGCAAAGTTCTTTCATTAAGTTACAAAAGTTTATTTGCAGCAGATTGGAGGGCATCCTTGTTGGCACATATTTGGTTGGCATGTTGGAGGGCAAATAGCCGGTGCTGGAGGTGGTGGAGGAGGAGGAGGTGGTGGTGGGGCTTGTTGACAACAGGCAGGTGCACAAGATGGCTGGCATGATGGCATTTGAGGAGGTTGGAACACGAAGGGTTGTTGAGGTGCAACACCGCAGCAAGAAGTTGGACAAGTGGGGGCGCAGCTTTGTGGACCACATGAAGGTGCGCATACTGGAACTGGAGGTGGCTGGTATGGCGGAGGAGGAACGGGTGGGCCTGGTACGTAACGTGGTCKTGGAACCCAACGCTCCCTCATTGGTTGACATGGTGGTTGGCAGTTAGYTACTGAAAATAACAAAAGCAATGTTAAGAATGAAAATGGTAATGATGATGGTCAGAGGTTACTCCTCAWAATACATGAATTACCACTTGCCATGCTATATCCAATCTGCATGAATGGCCAAAAAAATGMAGCCAATTTTCAGTAATATGTACAATGTGACTTGACAATTTTAATCTATCGTCTGCACTAGAGGTTAACATATTCATTGATAAGTTGCATTGGGTGAAAGTTTATGACCATTATGAAGAATGAAATACCTGGAAATGGTCGTCTAAAACATGGTGGTGGACAGTTGATACCAGCTGAATAAAGATGTGAATATGAGGAAAACGAAAACATGAAATGAATTGAATTATGAATTCATGATGGTGATGACATTCATTGTGCAATGATAACTGGTGAGAGTGATTTTAGCAATATTGTGATGATGGTGTTTTACAGTGATTTTTACAGTGATGCTGATGATGCTGATGAATTGATTCTGTTTATTGGTGACAGTAAGAATGTTTATGATCATGATGAAGAATGAAATACCTGGAAATGGTCGTCTAAAACATGGTGGTGGACATTTGACACCAGCTGAATAAAGATGTGAATATGAGGAAAATGATAGCATGCTGAAGTCAAGTGAATTATGAATCAATGGAAGAATTCATGACAGAATGATGGTAATGATATACTGATAATAATTCTGGTAATGCAGTGATGGTGATGATGGTGTATTACAGAAATGAGTGATGAATTGATTGTGTTTGGTAATAGTAAGAATGTTTATGATCATGATGAAGAATGAAATACCTGGAGGTGGAGGTTTAACACATGGTGGTGGACATTTGACACCAGCTGAATAAAGATGTGAATATATGGAAAATGAT